TTGTTTTTAACATGAAGTAAAATATTCCCTATCTGTGTTGAAACTAAATCTGTTCCAATATCCAACAAAGGACATCATAAAATAATTACATATTTAGTATAGATTGTCGTAACTATGGGAACATTTTTATTTGATTAATTCTTGTTTTGTGGAATAATGACATAAGTATGAGTAGCAAAAAAAATCAGCTTATGTCAATTAAAATTTAATAGAATTCTAACAGCATAAATGGTAGTTCTTTTTCAATATATCTTTTTATTATTTAAGAAATAATATTATAATAGCTCCCTTTCAGGCTATGAGGGAGCTGGAGAGCTTTCAGTGTCTTCACTTGGGAGGTGCAGATAGAGACCCTGGTATTGGCTTGGCCACCGGTGACTTTTGTGACTGTGAACAGATTTGCTACCTGTTATGTACATCTATAGAAGGGCCCCAAAGATGCCTTTGGTTCTATGTTCCTTGATTCTATACTTCTTTACAAATTCTTCCAGACTGAGCTACCAAACCAAAGGTTCTTTTGACTCAAGATATTACCAAAGTACAAAAAACACACCACAACTCTGGTGTTTGTCCAGTTAAGATGTGATTCCTTGCTCCTCAAATTTAAAAAAAAAAAAATGAAGACTTAGTGTAAAGAACCACTTGGTGCCAACATTTGCCTCACTACAGTTAGTTTTGGGGGTAGTGAGAAGGAGAGAATGATCAGAAATCTCTGTCTTGAAAAAAGCTTTTCTGTCTCTGGCCCCCTCCTGATGTGGAAATGTTGGAGCAAGGAAGATTTTTTTCCCATAGCCTCATGATTGCAGCTACCACATTTATGTAGAATGTCTGCAGGGAATTCTCTCCCACACAGCTAAGAAGACTTTTTGTTCTCAGAGCTCTTTGTGGAAGTCACCATATGGATACTTCTCCTTCCTGTTATTCTGGCCTTGGAGCTTTTCCTTACAGGCATGTATCCTTGCTGCCTTCGATCCTTCCATCCACCCATCCATCAGGGCCAAAGACCCATGTGAGTTACATAGCTCTCCTGTTCAGGGCACTGCCATAGGGTTATGACAAGTGAAAAGCTGACCCAGAAGTATCCTTTCTTGAAGGGTCTTAGCAGAAGACAGGAGATTATCTTGTCTTAGGGGCTGAGGAGCCTAAGGACAGCCCAGGAGAGGTCCTCCCTCAACTAAGTGGACTAGCAGGGCAGTGACAAGGGGCAGATGAATTCCCTGTTTGACCACTCTTGACACATTGTACCTTGTCCTTATTTACACAGGCATTAACATTCTTTTTCTGTTACTGCCACTTTCCCTTTATCATCTTTCATCTGTGGTTATTAGAGAAACAGTCGTCCTTCATGGCCCTCAGATGTATGTTTTTCTATCTGTATGTATATATCATCTGTTTCTATAATGCATAATGTGAAAAATATCTGCATTGAAAACAGGATGCACATAGATTTACAGAAGTGAGTATATCTGATACGTTAGACTAGTTTCTTTGCAGTACTTTGTAAGTCACCATGATCTCAAATAGTGAAGATACCAACTAATCTGATAGAGCAATTAGAATGTGGAAATCAAATTAAATAATAATTGTTAATAGATAATATTTGTTGAGCACTTACTACATGGCAGTTTTGCTAAAAGCATCATAGGCATCATCATCATCATCATCATTATTTTTATTTTGAGGCAGGGTCTTATTTGGTTCCCCAAGGTAGAGTGCAGTGACATGATCATAGCTCATTGCAACCTCAAACTCTTGGGATCAAGTGATCCTCCTGCCTCAGCCTCCTCAGTGGCTGAGACCACAGTGCATGCCACCATGCCCAGCAAATTCTTAAATTTTTTTTTTGTAAAGATGGAGGTCTCGCTATCTTGCCCAGGTGGTTTCAAACTCCTGGCCTCAAGTGGTCCTCCCACAGTGCTGTGACCACAGGTGCAAGCCACCTGGTAGGTGTTATCTTATTTAATTCTCTTAACTAGCCTAGAAGGTTGGTGTCACTATCTTTCACATGTTTCAAATGGGGAGATTGCTATATGGGGAAATACTCAAGTTCATATGGCTAGAAGGAGGCTAGGCCAGGGCTCAAATCTAGGCAGTGTGGCTCCAGAGTTTCTTAGCCATCTGTTTCTTTGATTCATTAAAAACAAACAAAAAGCTTCTCCATCATCTGCTCTCCACCCACAATGGGCAATGTTAATACTCAGGTTTATCAAGGAATAAACACAATAACCATGTCTGTGTCCCCAAAGCTGGTCATATATGTCAGCACAGAAGGGTTTCATTTTGACTAGATGCTTACAGGACAAATATTTTGAGGACCATATTAGATCTTGCTTCTGGTATAAACTCGACCATCTATACACGCTTTGGGACCATCTCTGAGGCAGGGGACTGCTTTTGTTCCCCTCTCTTCGGCAGTCCGTGTTGCTTCTTGTTCTTCACATTTTCCAGCTTGCTCTTTCAAAAGATTCTCTTCTCTCTGTCTACTATGAGTCTAACCTCTTTCAGTCAGGGACTGCCTTTTGTGAGACCTGCAACAGCATCTAGCGCTGGATAGTTGGATTGAACTAAACGTCTCAAGATAGTTGTTTCTTTTGTTGTATCCCTCCATGTCTGTCAGAAGTATGCATGTTTCCCTCTAAAATGAACAAAGAAATTTGGTGCTAAACAAGGATAATTACTAGACTCCATCAAGAAATTAGCAGAGCAAATCCAAGGCATTAGAAATAACGAGTAAGTAGAAGTTGTCAGGAAGGGGGGAACTAGGAGGCTGGACAGATGCTGGAATGAATGCACAGCCTTGGGGCACTGGGATGAATGAGTGGGATGGGAGAGACGTAACCCCAGAAATGGACACGTGCGGAAGCCACTGGCACAGGAACTCAGCAGCAGGGACTGGCAGAGTAGGTTTCAGCTGGAGTAATGTGCCATTGGGTGGGGAGATCACAAAGCTTGGGCTGGAGGTATCTACGGGGTTCCACATGTCAACCCACAGGACAAGAGGAGCAGGTGGAAAAGGAAGACTTTACCCAAATTATACAATTACTCTTGCCTCATGTGAAAACTTGTTACGTCTTTTTTTTCTTAATTTCAGTAACAACAAACATTTATAGAGCCTTTACTGTATGCTAGACACTGCACTGAGCTCTTCACATGCAGTAAGGGTTGTGTTGAAATCACGTCTTTAGGTACAAGCTGGGGAGCATTCAAATAAGGTGATGTTACATTTTCAACGCAAGGACCTGAAAATCTATGTGTGAAAATGAGAACACATATAAGAAATAACTGGACAATGATATAAGATAGGATAGGGTTTAATCACTGCTGCATCCTGAAAGTAACAAGGTGGGAAGGGGTAGTTTGCCTCTGCAAGAAGAAGTCTTTGCAACTTCGCATAGTGTTATTCTCTGATACACGGAGCTGCTCTATGGGGCCCGAAGCAACATGGAGATTTGCTTAATGAACATACTGCAGACACAGGAGCTAAATGGTCTTTATTATGTTTACTCGTCTCTCCCACATAAGCAAGTAATCACATGCTGATGCCAGAGGGTTCAAGGATAAATGAAGTCTAGAAACTGAAAGGATATAAATAGTTAACAGTCAAACCTTGAGCCCTCTCTCAACCTTTCAAGACAGCCAGTAAATTGAATGCAGCAACGAGAAAACAGAGCATCTTCTGCTCACCCATGGAAACAGTCAAGCTGCCACAATTTGCACAAGGTGCAAGTAACAGATCAGCCTTTTGTAGGACCCTGCACACGCTGCACATTGCGGCGATCTCACCTCAGTCACAGAGCCTCTGCCTCACAGCTGGGCTGAAGGAATTAGCTTGCACACCAGAATATTAATGTCAGCATCTTTTATCACATGGGTTGGAGATTTGCAACCATTAAAAAAAAACCACCAACTCTGCTTGTGATTATCTGTGATTTAGAGAAAAGGGGCAAAGTTATCATGAAAAGAAAAGTCTGTCCTTAAATGTGTTGAAAATATAAGTAAAAATACTTGGAATGCTTTCTTATTATAAGCTGTTATGATAATGTAAAATGAACCTACCCCCCTCCCAAATACTAGAAGGGGCTTTAGAAAGATAGTGGAAGGAATACTTCACCACGTCTACTCATTCCCCTCAAACCCACCTTGCTAGGAATTGGATATCAATCTGGGTGGAGAAACATTATAAAATGTCTTTTGGTTGTGTGCTTATTTGGGTATATGTTGACCATCATCTCAGGTAACAAATGGGAGGCTCAGGGAAAGATGGGGAATATTGGGATAGGAGTGAGATGGGGGTAAATTGAGACCCAAAACTCACCCAGTAGGTGCAGTCTTGCTTCAATCCAAGGTCAAGACTCAGGTGAAGCCAACAAAGTACAACAGAGAGAAGCCAGTTTTGACATTGAGGAGAAGGTCCTCTTCAGGAATGAAATGTCTTGTATTTTTAAGATAGGGACCTGGGAAAACCCAGCCCCCAGCCTTTCAGGTTGTTATTTTTCTGTCACCAAATCCCAATGCCAAAGTAATTTCTCCTTGTGCTCAGCAGATGCTGTCAGAGGTTGTGTCAAACTCAACAAGAAGGGCATGCTCTGTCTCCTGGCAGTGGTCATTCTGGGGTAGCAGGATGTTCTCATCATACACTCAGTGATGATAAAAGTCTGTTCCGATAGAACCCATTGCAACACAATTTTATGTATTATTTTAAGAAAGACCTTAAAATGATATTCCAGAACAACTTGTCTCATGAATAATTTTCTTAAGATCTTAACCTAGATAAATCCTTTCCTTAAAGGTTTCATAAAATGCACTGTTTAGCACTTATCATGGTCTACGTCTTCATTGTGTCCCTCTCCTACACCTTCTAAACCTACCCATTGCCTCTCCATGCTTGTTTATTACACTTTTTGGATTAGGGCACTACTGGTAGAAAGGTAAGTGACCAGTTTATACATAGATATATTATTCAAATATATGTTTAATTAACTATGTTTTTTTTTTTATAGTAAATTCTCTTGTCTGAGGAGAATTCTTTCATGGAAGGAGGCAGAGTGAATGATTGAAGCACATTACTTGGTTAAAAAAATTACTTTCACATTACATGAAACTGCAGCACATTAAATCACCAGCTTCAAAAATCTACAAATTCCAGGTCAGTAGAGTCATTTGAGGACAACCGATGCTTTTAAGTCTGTATAAAGAGGAGATGTCTACTCTTATTTCCAGGAACATTTCTAAAAGACTGCCATAAGCTCTCATTTGCAAAATCTCGTCGCTTTGAGATTTCATCCTTGGGATGAAAGTAGACTTTGCTTTTCTGTTAATGTGCTAAGCAAATGAACAGCAGGACCACATGAAAAGGTGGCATATTCACCATCTTAACAAGGCACATAATTTTTAAGCCAGAGAAGTTGTGTATATTTTCATAAAACAGCATACTTGCAATACACATAGGCAGGCATTCTTGAGGCTGAATCTCACTTTCCTTTTATTATACCTTTGATACCCCCTGGGCAGGACATGGTTAAGCACATTCTAGTTACTGTAGGATTTTGAAATGTAAGAGCAAAAAAGCAAAACAAGTAGGCAAGCATATAAAGAAATAGTCTATAAGTCAACCTTTTTTCTTCTATCTCTATACAGCATCTCTCCCACCTAACCATCTAACTTATTTGGGATTCAGTCAAGACTGGACAAGAAAGTTTAATGAGTCCTCCTGTGAATTTGAGAAGTGCCTAGCACTTTATTCTATTGAACCTTAGGGCTTCTTTCATCCCATGATTTGGTCCATAATTGGCCAAAAAGAAATTATTGACACTAGCACTTAAGTCGTTTCTGTGACATACAACTCCTTAAACACATATACAATCTTATCAAAGTCCCTGACAAAACACCACTAGCAATGTAAAGGTAATGTGCTAGGATATTTGCATGAATATACTTTAAAAAATAGAATGTCTTGTTATTTGGTATGTATTTCATGAAAAAATGTCTACGACCAGAGAGACAAATGACCTCTCTGTCCTCAAGAGTTGCTGTTCCAGTAAAGTCTGTGATGCTTTCCTTGTACAGTACCAAGATCATAGACTTCAGGGACAAATTTTATACCAACTAGTGGCTTTGTTGTATTATGTTTCTCTCCTTCTCATTTGTTCCTTTTCATTCTTTTTTTAATAGGAATTAACCCTCTCTTCCTTTATCCTACATACTTGTCTTCTCGACTAGATAGATCATTAACTCTGCAGAAGACAACAGCCAATGTCTAACTCTTATTGACTTTCATTTATGGCAACGACATTCTCTGCAAAGAGCAAGCACTCCATAAAATCGATTCTGTCCCTTGGCTTCTCCACATAGATTGGAAATACCTCTGTTTCACTTCTCGTTTCCAGAGCCAGATTGAATGTTTACTGATAAGGATATCTACAGATCTAGGAGGAAGGTATTTCTGGGAGTGGTAGAGGGCGATGTTCCTGTCTGTTTCCATCAGCTCTCAGTAACAGTTACCCCATATGACACAATGTGACATCCAAACTCCCTTGAGGGGACAGCAAAATGTACATAGGCTAGGTCTGTGTTCATGGGTACAATGTACACTATTCTGGTGAATGGGCACACTAAAAGCCCTGTCTTCAGCATTGTACAATTCATCCCTGTAACAAAAACACTTGTATCCCTTTAATATTTTGAAATAAAGAATATAAAAAAAATATCAGTTTTTTGTTCCCTGAAAAATGCTAATTTTTCTTCAAGACAGGAACTATGAAGAAAATAAGATTTAGATCATCTTGTGGGAAGTCTACCCCTACTACATTAGACTATTTGCTTGATCCTCCCAACCATTTTAGAAATGCTATATCTCTGTTTGAGCAGAAATTATTTTAGTTAATAACAAGAAGATTACTTTTTAATTTTCCAGTAGAAAGTGTCAGTCATCCTTCTTTCCCATTTCTTGATTGATCAGACAGTGAATACCTTTGTGGAAAGATTACGTCAATGAAAGGTGACCATACTATATCAAGAATTAAAAAAATTTTTATCCCTTAAAAAGTGATTAAGTCTCAGCAAATTCATGAACTGGAATCAAATGTCAGGGCAACTGGCTTGCTTGCTTTACTGTTTATTCATTATTTAATACATCTCAGAGAATTATGGGGTTGGAACAGAGTTCAAGAAGTCTAAAGAAGCCCTCTGGCCTCAGGGAAGACTTTCAGAAATAACATCAAACATAGGAAGGCAAATAATTGTTGCTGGGACTCTATGTGGGCTAAAATGGCAGGAACATGGCATTCTAGCCCAGTCTGTCTCATAGGTATCTGTTCTTTCCCCCTCTTCATATGTACATTTCAACATATTTTAGAAGGAATTCATTTCATTTGGCATGAATTCCTTTTACAAAGATTTTTAAAAAATAAATGTTTCAATACAGTGTTATCTTCTAGATAAAAAAGGTTTGTCTTTATAGGGCCTTTGAAAATGTCTTTCTGTTGCTCTTCTCTTAAATATAAATACTCTGTATATTTGCATTTGCCTAAGTCATAGTTTGGCCTGGTCCTTCAATGAGTTATTTAAAAAGATGTTGATTTTGAAATATTACCTCTATTCCTTTAAAAAAATATTTTAAAAGTAAAGCAATCACATTTAGGAAGGCATGGCAAATGCAGAAGAAAAATGAAACCAGCAAGAGTACCACCATGCTAGGGCAATCCCTGCTATTTCTCAATATATTTCTTTCAAGTCTTTATACTAATGCAATATTTTCTTTGTCTTTAGTCATAATAGAATTTTTTCTTGCTTTTTCCCAGTTGATATTATAGCAAAAAGTATTTTCAAGTTTTTGATAGTCTTCATAATCATCAATTTTTGAATCATTTCATTGAATGTCTCTACCACTCTATTTTATGACATTTAGGGGTTGTTTCTACAATTGATGATTATACATAATGCTGTAATGAACATCTTTGTATGTATACTTAAGATTATTGCTTTAGAATCAATTTCTAAAGAGACTAAATTCATAAACACTTGAGGATTTTGATATGTGTTGCTAAATTTCTTTGTAAAAGATTTTTACCAATTCAGAGTACCGGTAGCAATGTTTAGAAGTATCCATTTCCTCCAATGCTCACCACTAATGGGTATTATACACTTTAAAAAATATAAATTTATTTATTTATTTATTTTGAAACAAAGTCTCACTTTGTTGCCCAGGCTAGAGTGCCGTGGCGTCAGCCTAGCTCACAGCAACCTCAAATTCCTGGGCTCAAGCGATCCTTCTGCCTCAGCCTCCCAAGTAGCTGGGACTACAGGCATGCACCATGCCCGGCTAATTTTTTCTACATATTTTTAGTTGTCCAATTAATTTCTTTTCTATGTTTAGTAGAGATTGGGTCTCATTCTTGCTCAGGCTGGTTTCGAACTCCTGACCTTGAGAGCGATTTTCCCGTCTAAGCCTCCCAGAGTGCTAGGATTACAGGCATGAGCCACCACGCTCAGCCAAAAATATAAATTTAAAAGACCAAAATAATGCATCATTTAAAAAATTTAGATTTCTTTTATTTCTAGTAAGGAGGAATACTTTTCTATTTCTTTTCCTTTGTAAATTTTCTTTGTATTTGTCTGTTTATCTATTAATGACTGATACTAGGGATTTAAAAATATTTGCTTTCAGTTTTTTTATATACTTGGTCTTTTGTAAATTGAATATATCTGGGTTTTTTTTGTCTTTCCTTCTACCATATCTCCCAATATTGTCTTGACTTAATTCAAAATACTCGTGATTTTTAAGACAGTACAGCTTTCTTGTCCTTGTTGTTATTTTTTTTTCTTCTTCTTCTTTTTTAGGAACTTTACCTCTTTCATGATTTCACTTTGCTGATTTGCTCTCCTGTAGTAATTCTGGTTTGGAGTCTTATTCTTCAGAAACTTGGCCTGCTATAGACTTTCTGTAGTTCTCATACCCAGGATGGTACCCACTCGAGTTTAGGACTGCCGCCTAATTATTTTACCATGCACTGCCCATCTAGAGTGACCAGCCAGCCTCATTACTGACCCCAGGCATTAAAAGGAAAGGCCTATAAAAAAAATCTTGTTTAGCAGATTTTCTTTTCGTCTCACTGACTGGTGAAATGAGAACATAACAGGAAGAGCACATTGATGGTGGATGTGATTTTGTTTTCTTGGCCACAGACTTTACATTCCCAAGGTATAACACTCATGTCTGTTCTCTCAGCTCTGGAAGGAAATAATCAGAAACAGGTGATGGCCCAGAAAGCATCATGGAATCAGTTCCCTGAGCAATTGACTGCCCTCCAGAAGGATGCCCTGAGCATGTGCACGGGAAATTTAAAAGAGTATAAATGTGGAAAACTGTTCCAAGTCATGTCTGGAGTGAAAGATGTATCACAGTGGGACATAGAATAGCCATTAGGGTGGGCAACAGAACAGGATCTGTGATTTCAAGAACTACAAACCATATTGGTATGAGAGCCTGCCAACTTCTTAAGATATGGTTATATTTTTCTCTCTCCTTTGGTTAATCTCCTAAGAGACAGTCATTTTTTTTTTTTTAATTCACCTTAAATATATAAGAGGCAACAGCGTTGAGGAAAGAGTGTGGGCTTTGTGACCAAACAGATCTGGCTGTGTATTCATGGGCAAATGACTTAATCTCTTTTACGACCTAACTTCCTTAACTGTAAAATGGAAACAATAGAAATCTACCTGTCCAGGTTGTGAACATTAGAGGTAATGTCTAAAATGTTTGGCTCAGATTTTAGCAAATAGTGGACTCTGGTACATGGTATTCTGGTTGCAGATGCTGTTTTTATTAACATACAGGGTTAGCTCTTGAGCTCTGGCCTTGCTATACATCAGAAATTAACCTTTGGAGAACAGAGCTTAGATCCAAATGTGTAGAAACTGTTAATTCATATTGCAGAGGCTGAGAGTGGGAAAAAAAGTATGCCACTCCCATATCAGTGTTGCTTTCATTAGGGAAAAATACTTTCTGTTATTTATATTTTTGTTGTATTACTTTTTTGCAGAATGTTTTACATTGTTTATATTAGAAAAGTGAACGAGGAATTTACAATTTTGCTGTTTAGCTATTTGGGGGGTGGTTAAGAAGGCACAGTAATGGTTTCATTAACCTTTGTACCCCCGG